TGAGCAAGGCACCGAACCCCCAACTGCTCCCCGGGCGCCGCAGCAAAAAATGGCTGCCCACTGCTCCGGGTGTGTGTTCATGGTGTGTGTGTGTGTTCACTGCTGTGTGTGTGCACTTTGAATGGGATAAATGCAGAGTACTAATTCCGAGTATGGGTCACCATACTTGGCCACATGTCACTTCACTTTCTTTTTTTTTTTTTTAAATAATGTGTTTTTTGAACATTAAAGCATGTCAACATATTCTGTTACACCAAATACACAAAATAATGATCTTTAAAAAAGCATCATATGACCCCTTTAACATTTTTCATATCAATTTTATATTTTGTGTTGAAAAAAAATGGTAAAAGAAAATTTTAGTATGGCAGTGGTTCTCAAACAAGGGCCCGGGGTCCACTAGGGGGCATCAATGACTTGTTCTTGTTGTTTTTTATAAAATGCAAATCAAGCTAAAACAAATCAAAATGAAAATATTTCTTATTTTAATTCACCCCCCAAATTATTTGGGGAAATGTGGACAAAAGAACATGTGAATCAGAGATGTCCAAACCAGGATCTGTGGGCCAAAGTTGGTCTGTGATGACCTTTGGTTTGGCCCACCATGCCAGACCACAAGAGGGGGAAAATAGCAACAAAAATTATGCCATGCATAATGACTTTTTGGTCCTTTGTAGAGAACAGTTTGGGCGCCTATGCTGTAAATAAACAGATAGTTCAGCCCTTGTCCTACCTTGAGCAGGTAGAGTGGACAGCAGGATTGTGGTGGACCGGACACCGGCATCTGTGCTGAAGTTGCAGCGGTAGAGTCCTCCATCTTCTTTGACAATGTTGGTGAGGTGCAGACTGACCTCCATAGCATCACTACAGTTCAGTCGTCCTCTACTGTTGAACTCACTCAGCTCCACGCCATCTTCTAGCATCTGACATGTTGCTATAATATTACTACCGCTCACCTCGGTGTCCAGTTTCTCAATGCTTACTTGGTAAACCTCACCGTTGTGGACAAGGTCACACGTAATGGTCAGGTTGTCATTCTCTGCTGCCACCAAATTAGTGTCCGGTTGAATAGAGAAGGTGGGGGTGATTGCTAGACAAAAAAAGGAGTATAAGTCTATATGATCTAGAATAAGAGTATGAACCTAGTTAGCAATTCTTACTGTATACTTTGGAATCACAATTCAGGGTTAAACCTATCGGGTCACCATGACTTTATCTGTAATGTTGGAAAATGTAACATGGTGAAATATAATTCACCTGCTTTTTCGACAAATGTGTCTTTGGTCCATGAACCTTGAGGATAAGTCTGCAGAGAGCAATGATACTGGCCGATGTCGCCCTCAGTGACATTCATTATGGAAATGCTGCCGTCCATCGCGGTGGATTTCAGAAACGTCACTCTGCCGTCATATGATGACTCATAGTTGGAGCCATACTGAGGATGATAAACAGCTACAGGTTGTGAAAGAGACTTTTTAGTCCAAGAGACCATAATGAGCTGGCCAGTCCACGGACACAGGCAGTCCAATACCATTCCTTCCTGCAGTGTGACTTTTGATCCTGGGGCTTTCATCTGAACGGAGCCTAGAAGACCATTACGGAAGTGTGGGAAATCAGACACAGATGAAAACGGACACAAAAGAAAACAAAATCATCTAAAGATACATAATTTCAAGTCAACAGACACTGGCAGAGAACCTCAGGGTTCACGCACACCTTCTGACCAACATTTATTTTTTTCTGGGCATTTGCAATTGCTGGATTTTAAAATGTATTTAATATTTTTAACTCACAAAAAAAAATAATGAAGTATTTTAGAAATACACTACTGTTCAAAAATGTGGGGTCTGTAAGATAAAAAAAAAGGTTTCGAAAGAAGTCTCAAACAAGGCTGCATTTATTTGAACAAAAATGCAGTTAAACGGTAATATTGTGAAATATTACAATAAAAAAATCATCAATTAAGCTGAATTGTTTAGAATCCGTTACTCCAGTCTTCAGTGGCACATTGTTCAGATATGATGATTTCAAGCTGTTCAAGAAACATTTCTTTTAATCAATCTTTAAAAGTTGTTCTGCTTAATTTTTTTTTTTTTTGTGGAAACCATGATAACTTTTTGCAGGATTCTTTGATAAAAGTTCAAAATAATATTTAATAGAAATAATTTGTAATAGCTAAAATAGATATACATTCTGATTTGTATCCATTAAACATTACTATTCCATGACAAACAATTAAAAAAATTCAATATATTTCCAGGATTTATTTATTTTACCCAAGTAAAAGAAAAGGCGTATGTGCCGAAATACAATTGCTGGTGTGGCTTTTCTGTAACCATGTACATTGTTTATTGAAATTGCAGCAGAAGAACCTTATAAAGCTAAACATTAATGGTTATTAAACTGTATTTTGCACCCTTAGAGAACTAAACTAACAAAAATGATGCAACCAACAACCACAAGTACAAACCAGTTACTTTCAATGTAACCACATATTCTCATTCCTTTTTGAAAGGATTATAACAAATCAGAAATCAGTTATTTCAGACTATTTCTTCTTTAAAATGTATAGGATCAAACTGATTTATATTCACCCTATCAGCACTGAAAGTCAATTCAATTCATATGTAAACAGGAACACTGTTTATCATGCTAAAGAACCGCCATTCATGATTACGTCCTTTGATATATACATAAATTAAGAACAAATAGGCTATAGTTTAAATGTTTTTTTTATATATATATATAAGCAACAGTTTCTACCTTTGCTAAAAAAATTACCTTTTAGAAAACAGAGCTGCATCATGAGTACCAAGAAGTACCAGTAATCCTTTTGTACTGCCACCATCTTGCTCCTCTGAGACAGAATGAATACAGCATTGACGAGGACTGAGGCGACCTCAGCACTTTCTGTGTTCAGCTGCAAGACTCTGCAATCACATCCTCAACCAGCAGATAAACACTGTTAGAGAGGAGGTGTTAAGTTCACCAAACGAGAATTCTACCCCACCTTTTTTTTTTTTTCACCTGAAACTGAAAGAGCGGACTTGAAACCAATCTCTGAATTCCCCTATGATAAAATAAATAGAATACAAAGGAAAGGAAAAATCATGACCTTATGTAATTCATCCAGAAAGTGCTAGTACACCCAAAAATACAGTTTTTTACAGTGCATTTGATCATTTTTTACAGTTGAAGAATGGAGAGGCGTCTACTGTAAAACCAGCTCATTTATTGATTTGCTACAAAACAAAACAAATATACAAAAACTCAGAATGAATTTTGTACCAAAACATACATAAACATTCACATTATTAGGTGACTTTCATGATCTGAGAGGCACTTAGGAGCTGAAGATGTGTGTGAGATTTCTAAGGCACTTCAGAAGATAGACGTTCAGGGGTTTGTCACTTGTCTGCTCTTCATCTGTATGTATGAATAAACAAACAAACAAACAGACAATTACCTCAAATTCTCAGGAAAGATCCATTCCTGATACATCTACTGCTGTAGTATCATCAGAGAGTAAAAATAAGAGGCTCTACAGTGATCAAACTGAATATATTCCCACCTTTCCTGGCAGACATGTATGCCTCTTCAACTTTCAGTCTGATGGAAGGACACTTCAAAGTGGCCTTTGCCTTTGTAAGAGGAGATATGCAGGATGAGAAGATAAAGGGTGAGACTGATCGCGCATGTGCGAGATGCCAGACTCGCATGTAATTTGTGTTTATAAAATGATCATGAATCCTATGTCGATGCCAAAGAACTATTGACTGACTCTAGTAGTACTATTCAATATTTTTTCCCAATATTTCATTATTCAAGTTGTCATAATGTCATTATATAATAACAAGATGCCATTGAATAAAAGACGTTACCTTCTGATTGTTGTGCAACAGAGCCCAAAGCGCAGAAGCTCCTATGGTACGTATTTCTGATGAGCTACTGCCCAAACAAGATATTAGCAGCTCAACCGCTTTATCTGAAATATATAATATTTAGATAAAATGTAATATTTATGTGTCTATGTATTTATATGTAACACTTAGTAAAACTATCTCTCACCTCTCTCTCACACACACAAAAATTACATAGTTTTATAACAATTTTATATATAAAATCATTATTATAGCAATTATTTTAAGTAATAAAAAATTACATTTCTTAGTAGTGTGTATTTGCTGCTTCATGTGCATATTCACATCATGTCAAGACAAACATCTTATTTCCTTCACTTTCTATAAAAAAGGAATTGGGCGGAAACATTGGTTTGATGTGTAGCTAGACTCAAATGCTGGGTGTGGTGGATCATTTTTACACTTGCAGTGTCAAATTGATCTTGAAAGACTAGAATCTATATCACAGACCTACCAATATATATATATAAAATGAAAAAATGCAATACGTTTTTTGTTGTTATCGATGTTTCTTTTTTTTTTTTTTTTTGGAAGGGGGGGGTATATCAGCCATGCCAATTAATCAAACGAAATTTGGCTATTTTGTTAAAGGGATAGTTCACCAAAAAAAAATAAAAAATGGTCATTAATTACTCTCCCTCATGTCGTTCCAAACATGTAAGACCTTCGTTCATCTTCAGAACACAAATTAAGATATTTTTTATGAAATCGAGAGCTTTCTGACTCTGCATAGACTGCAACGCAACTGAAAAGTTCAAGGCCCAGAAAGGTAGTAAGGACATCATTAAAATAGTCATCAGTGGTTCAACCGTTATGTAATGAAGCTACGAGAATACTTTGTGCACAAAGAAAAAAAAAACACTTTATTCAACAATTTCTTCTCTTCCATGTCAGTTTCCGCCACGCTTTCACAACAGTACCATGACGCACATGTTCTGTGCGCACAAAAATAATTCTCATAGCTACTTAAAATTACGGTTGAACCACTGATGTCACATGGACTATTTTAACAATGTCCTTACTACCTTTCTGGGCAAAAATATCTTAATTTGTGTTCTGAAGATGAACAAAGGTCTTATAGGTTTGGAACGACATGAGCGTGAGTAATTAATGACAGAATTTTCATTTTCTGGGTGAATTATCCCTTTAACCATGCCCACTGAGCCTTATTAGATATTGGCATCATCCACTCAAAGGGGAACATGTTGGTCAACCATTAACATGTAAAACCCTGTAAATCCAGTGCTCATACCATTGGCTAAGACTTTGGGCTTGTTAGCGGAGCAGAAGCAGATGTTGTGGAGAATAAGCAGGATGGTGGGTTTAGAGCTGGATTGTTTGGACTGGGCCAGTCCGACCAGCAGCTCCAAAGCCCCTCGGAGCCTGAGGATCATCTGCTGTCCGTCCTCCCCAAACGACACGTTCAGCAGCAGCTTGAGCCAGAGGAACAGAGGCTCCACCGCCGGACTGCCGCTTCGACCACCTGCCTTAGGCATAGGGAGAGACAGGAAGTGCTGCAGGAAGTTACTCTAGGGAAAACAGCAAGAAAGAAGGTTTTGTTGACACTTCTCTATGAAACAAAAAGGCGGATATGCAACCAAATGAGTCATAAAAGGTTTTCTTGCTGGAGCACAGAATTATTTAGCTATATTTACTTTATATTTATAGCCTGAAGTGTCTCACAAGGTTATATTTCTTCCTGCCCTGAATTATTTTTTGCTTTAAACATAACCAGTGAGTTACCTTCAGCAGTACCCCTCTGCAGTCCCTTGAGATGGCCAAGTTGGCCAGCAGTGAGAAAGCCAGACTGTGGATGCTGCTGTTGTCAGGGGCAACCTGGGAGGCCAGTTTCATCACCCCATGCATCAGTGAATTTGTGACCGCAGTCTTAGGAAGAACAGCCTGAACTGAGCCAGAGATACCACTGCTGCTGCTACATAAAGCACTGCATGCTGGAAGAGAACAAAAGAGAGACAGAGCGAAAGAGAGAGAACTTGATTATGGAAAAAAACTAGAACGTATACAAAGAGAGGCAAGAAACTAAGCAACTGTATCTCAGAAAGATAAATGTTAATCAGTGTTTCTTATCTGTGAAGGGCACCTTCCCAAACCCTGAAATGGGGCCAAACACCTTGCATAACAAAACAATTGTAGCTTTAAACAAACATTTCACTAATTTTTAATATACTAGTAATTATTAATAAATACTATATACACATACACTGAATATGTATACATACCACAGAAAAAGTCAGGGGTCAGTAAGATTTTTTTTTTTTAATATATAATTATGAAAATATTTAAATTTAAACATTTACAATGTAAAATTGTAATAATAATAACTTATAAATAAATAAATTGAATAATAAAATAAATACATTTTATATATATATATATATATATAAAATGTATATATTTTTTTTAAATAAATGCTGTTCTTTAGAAAATTATATTTATTAAAGAATCCAGAAAAAAAAATACCACAGTTGCCACAAATATTAAGCAGCACAATTGAACAATGATAATAATAAATGTTTCTTGAGCAGCAAATCAGAATACTAGAATGATTTCTAATGGATCATATGACACTGAAGACTGGAGTAATGACTGCTGAAAATTCAGCTTTGCATCACAGGAATAAAGTATTATAAAATATAGCAAAATAGAAAACAGCTATTTTAAATAGAAATATTTCACAATATTATAGCTTTTACTGTGTTTTTGATCAAATGAATGCAGTCTTGGTGAACATTAGTGACTTTATTTTATTTCTACGAAAATCTTAGATTTCAAACTTATGAATGGTTCTTTCTTTTTTCCCCGTGGTGCTGCAAAAGTGCTACAGGAAACATTGCCAGCGATATAAAACCACACAAGCCTTTTCTTTTTGCTAATCTATTCATCTTGTCTCAAAATATCACTGCACAGTTGTGTAACAATGAGCGTGGAAACTCAATGGAAACAGAATTGTTCCACTGTGTTTAACTCTTATTAAAAAAAAAACATTTCCTCCTGGTCTAACAATGCTGCATTTAGTCAAGTGTCAAAACCACTAAATGTCTTGCTTCTGGGTAAGCGGACAGACGCATTTTGAAGAACAGCAAGACTGCAGGTGAATCATTTAACATGATGCTGGATTATTGAGAGACCTCAGCAGGGTTTTGCTTGCCGAAGAAATCCAATATTAATCGGCCAGATGAAAGAATGAGGGTTGTGTGTTGCAAGTTAATGAATTATATAATAAAAGTGACACAGGACAGAATATGATGGTGAGGAAAATGTGCTGGAGGGCTGATTCCATAATTGAAGAACCAGATTCATGAACTTTCAACATCACCTGCTGTTAACACAGACCTTGAGGAACACCACACATGACAGTATGCTATTGTAGCCTAGTGCTGTTAAACCATAGTGACAGCCCAAATGTACACACGGGCGCAAAAACACAAATGCGCACACCCACACACACACACACACACACACACACGTATATGTACAGACTGACATTCACCCATGCACTGCTAGCTCTTCACAGGTGTGAAGCCACATCCTGTCTCAAAGCACAGCTTTCCATGAGCTCAGATATGATACAGAGCAATCATTGTGTTCAAGTAAACACACTCACCAACAGACACTTTCATGTACAACACTCTCTCTCTTACACACACACAGAAACACGTGCAAATGCTTTCATGTTTAACCGTCTCCCTCAAACAAACGCACACACACAAAGCAGTTGGTCCAGATAACATTCAGATTTTTTAATACTTTTTCTGTAATATTTATAAGAAAGGGATGTCTTAGATTTCAAAAACCTATTAGATAATTAGATCAATTTCACTTCAAGTCACCATGAAATCAAAATGTATGATTTTATTTATTAAATACTGCAGTGTTTATTATTTATTTCTCTGTGCACAGTATATATTTTTTTTAATTCATGTGCACTGGTGCGAGGGCAGGACAAAAATTCCTCCCCTCCAGCAACCTGTCACTCACTGGAGGTCACGGCAAACGACAACAAACCAATAATTTCCCGATATACAAAATCAAATCACACCCTACATTTTTTCTCATTCGAGAGGCAAGGAAGGAAAGATGATCACAGCTTGCGTTTCGACTTTGAGAAGCAATAAAAATTATTATTTTAAATGTTTTTGTTTGCTACTTTTGAATGTTTGGAAACGGCAAGATGTTTCCAGTATTACCACGATAGAAAGTGCATTGCCGTTTGCTCCGTAGTTGCAGAGCATCAGAGTAGCCATGATGACCCCTGTCCACCAGTAATGGGCACATGGCCATCAGAAATGCTCTGATAAGTACAACCTACTTAAAGATTGTTGCAGACTTCATGGCAACAGTGATCGCTAATGACAATATCCTCTTTCAGCAGGATAATGCACCCTAAAACACTGCAGAAATAGTTCAGAAATGGTTTGAGGAACATGACAAAGAGTTTAAGGTGTTGCCTTGGCCTCCAGCTTGCCCAGATCTCAATCCGATTGAGCATCTATGGGATGTGCTCGACAAACATATCAGATCCATGGAGACCTATAGGATCTGCTGCTTGGTGTCAGATACCACAGGACACATTCAGAGGTCTTGTAGAGTCCATACCTTGGCGCACCAGAGCTGTTTTAAGGGGGACCTACACAATATTAGGCAGGTGGTTTTAAAATGATAGTTCACCCAAAAATAAAAATTTGGTTATTAATTACTCACCTTCATGTCGTTCCAAACCCGTAAGACCTTTGTTTATCTTTGGAACCCAAATTAAAGTGCCCCTATTATGTGTTATGAAAGGTTCATATTTTGGTTTTGGGAGTCCCCAACAACAGGTTTGACATGCATGCAAGGTCAAAAAACTACTGCTGTCAATCGATTTAAAAAAATAACTAATTAATCACATTTTTTCTGAAATTAATCGCGATTAATCCCACCTAACATTAAAGTTTTTAAATATACATTTATATTGCAATAATTTCACATTCAATCTTCAAATTAATGTACAAACAACAAAGACAGTATATTTTTAATATTTGATTAATGGCATCTTTTTTTATGAAGGCCAGTATCACTGATACCAATTAATACTGATTTCCCTATAAAAAAATTCCCCCTAATATTTAACCATTTACTATAGCCATTCAACATTACATTATAATTAAGAGCTATAAATTTGAACATTTATTAGACTTTAAAAATAACTTCTAATTTAAGTGAACTTAAAACAATCTTCACATAAACCCCTTTATAATAAATGTCATATTTAGCTAGGCTACCTGTGCCCCTCAGCAGAAATATACAGCAATTGAATAAAGTTATCAAACACTAAATTCTAAACTAAATACAGATGAATCCTTAAAGCTATAAAAGTTATTGATTTCCTCTTTTTTCTTTTATTTTTGATGAACAGACATCACAGCAGCTGGTTATTAGGTTGTTTTGGCTGCTATTTCTTTAAGAGCTGCCGCTGCTGAATGTGACGTGGATCTAACACGCATCATATTTTCTCTCTTTACCTTTTCTGACCCATTTCAAGTCTTAAAGTCTCTACTAATGAACTGACGAGTTGAATTGAGTGTGTTACATGAGGGAGAGACAGTGCTGGGCTGCTCCAGGACAGTTTGGAAAACCATTTCAGATACATATTCTTAAATGTGACTCATATATAACATATTACATGCATGCACAGTTTTATGGCAGCTTTAATCGCCTTTTTGGTAACTTCATGCCTTAACTGACCACGACATTGCATGCACGTAGTTTCTTTCGTGATTTGATATGAAATGATACAGGGCCAGGCTACAGCATGCGCCGGCGCCTTTGTGCATGCAATTGAAGATCACACACTGCGAGCACAGTACAGTTTCCACGCTCGTTTGACTCACGCCTGCCGCTGAACTAAAGTGGAGCACACATCTGAAACATCTCCGGTTTGATGTGGTCATAAAGACGTTCTGCGACTGAATAAATGCACTACTTGTCAAGAAAAATAGAGACAGAGGCAGCAGTTATGAGTGGGGAGGCCAACCCTAGGCTACGCCTCTGCGTTAACGGCGTTAAATATTTTTACCTTATTTGCTCAACGACTCTCAAACGATTCGCTCAGCGTTTCATTTTTCCAAACCCCTCCTTTGCGTTATGCTAATATGTGGTGATTGGTCCGATTGGTTATTTTCATTTGCATTTCAGCTAGCCTGTAATGCCTGATAAAGCAGCGTTTGTGAGCATAGTGCTGCTTTGTGTACAGCCGTTACCGGGGAAACAGTTAATTTACCGCTCCAAAAGCAGCACCTAGTGGCAAAAAATGAATTCGCATTTTCATTCAGACCAACGCGAAAATCAAGTTTTCCCAGGTCTGTGCGTGCAACAAGTGGGCGGGCAATATGCTAATGTTTCATGTTGACGTCAACATGAAACGGCTTGGGATTAGTTTTAAAAACAACTCATTTAAATGATTCAGTCGACTGTGAGTCGATGATGAGTCGACTTTCTTTCAAGAGACAATAACTTTAAACACAGTGCACTTTCAGATTTAAAACTTTGCAGGATGTTTTCATTCACTTAAAGTTGTGTTACACACTACATGAAAAGTAATTTTCAAAAATCCATAATAGGGGCACTTTAAGATATTTTTGATGAAATCCGAGAGCTTTCTGACCCTGCATAGAAAGCAACACAACTGACACGTTCAAGGCCCAGAAAGGTAGTAAGGACATTGTTAAAATAGTCCATGTAACATCAGTGGTTTAACGTAAATCTTACGAAGGTACGAGAATACTACGGCATAATTCCGGCATAACTGTGTTTTCGCAAGTGACAACGGTGTACCAGTTCTAACGCCATGGTGAAAGTTCAAGCAAAGCATGCTAACTTTTCTGTCTTTGGCTGGACTGACAAGCACAGAACACTATTTAGAGTCCCAGACTCAGAGGATACAAGAGAGTGGTGGATTTATTGATTTATTTACTGTATATTATGCTGCTGCCACACAGATCTAATATAAACATGCGATTTCTTTCCCAGCTGTTTACCTTCACAGACATAACCGACTGTTTTTGTAACTCGTGTGTTTTTAACAAACTTGTGTGTATTGACAGTTTAAGCGCAATAAGACATGAAAGAAAACTAATTTTAGTACTCACACGCCGAGTGACAGCCGCTTTCTGTGCGTGTGCTTCGGATGTGTGCACTCAGAAATCCGTATATCAGAAGTTTAAACTAATATGGTTTAAAATGCATGATTTCAATGCAATAGACATGATAATCAAAACCAAACGGATGTTTTTTGGCAGAATATTTGAGGTACAAGCTGTAAAGGCACAGCCCTATTCTGGAAAAGGGGGAGGGAAGCAGCAGCTCATTTGCATTTAAAGAGACTAAATGCAAGAAAAAAAGCGTGTTTCTGCTTCCACTCAAAATAGACATTTTCAAAATTATATAATTAATGATTTGTGGGGTATTTTGAGCTGAAATTTCAGACACATTCTAGGGACACCTGAGACTGAGGCCCTGTTTACACTAGTGCATTTTCGTTTTAAATTGCTGTTTTAAAATGAAAACGTTCCTCATCTACACTGGTGTTTTCACTGCATTTCAGAAACGATCTCCGTCCACACTACACAATCGAAAACGCATGTCACATGACCATTTATACAGGTACAACCATAGATATATAGGTAGATTCTAGGGCTGCACGATAAATCTCATGCGATATTTAATGCGCATCTTGTCAGAAAGCCGGTTCTGTAATCAGCGGTAAATCTTCAAAATAGACATTTTCAAAATGATATAATTAATGATTTGTGGGGTATTTTGAGCAGAAATTTCACAGACACATTCTAGGGACACCTGAGACTGAGGCCCTGTTTACACTAGTGCATTTTCGTTTTAAATTGCTGTTTTAAAATGAAAACGTTCCTCATCTACACTGGTGTTTTCACTGCATTTCAGAAACGATCTCCGTCCACACTACACAATCGAAAACGCATGTCACATGACCATTTATACAGGTACAACCATAGATATATAGGTAGATTCTAGGGCTGCACGATAAATCTCATGCGATATTTAATGCGCATCTTGTCAGAAAGCCGTCTTATATTCGGGTCAATACGGTATATATATATAACCCCAATTCCAGAGAAGTTGGGACGTTTTGTAAAATGTAATAAAATCAAGAATCTATTTATTTTTTTTTTAATTCTCTTGAACTTTTATTTAATTGACAAATGTACAAAGAAAAGATTTCCAAAGTTTTCACTGACCAACGTAAATGTACTTTGTAAATATGAACAAATTTTGTTTATCATGGCTGCAACACACTCCAAAAAAGTTGGGACAGAGGCAAAATAAAAGTAAAAATGTTATAGAATATCCACGTTAAACTGTTTTAAAACAGTTCACAGTAAGCAGGTGAATTGGTAATAGGTCAAGGTATCATGTTATATACATTGTATATAAGGAGCATCTCAGTCTTTGCAAGCAAAGCTGGATCATGGCTCATCACTTGACACTTTGAGAAGTGTCAAACAAATCAAAAATCACATTTCGCAATGCAAAATTGCAAAGAAATTTGTCTTTCACCAAGTACCATACATAATATTGTGAAAAGATTCAGGGAATCCAGAGAAACCACAGTACATGTAGAGCAAGGCAGGGAACCTCAGTTGAATGTGCTTGACCTTTGAGCCCTTAGATGGCATTACATAAGAAACTGTCATGCTGCGGTGTGAAATATAGCCACATGGGCTCAGGAGTACTTCAGAAAATCACTGTCATTTACCACAGTCTGCTGCTGCATCAAGAAATGCAACTTGAATATCTGTTACTCTAGGAGAAAGCTATACATCAATTCTATGCAGCGATGCTGCCGGGTTTTCTGACATTTTAACTTGTTCCCGGGAAAAATGGATTTCGAGTTCTCAGTCCCAAAGACAAAAGGGACCATCCAGACTTTCATTAGTGACAGAAGCAAAAGCAAACGTCTGTCATGGTATGGGGGTGCAGCAGAGCAAACAGCATGGGTGACTGGCATATGTGCAAAGGAACTATTGACATGGAGGCATATACTGGGATTGTACAGAGACATATACTGCCATCAAGATGATGTCTTTCATGGGAAGTCCATGGTTATTAGATCAAGACAATGCCAGGTCTCATTCTGCATGTGCTACAACCGCGTGGTTTCGTAGAGACTGAATGTACTAGACTGGCCTACCTACAGTCCAGATCTGACTCCTATTGAAAATGTAAATGAATGTATGTGTCATGAAAAGGAGAATCAGACAACGACGATCACAGACTGCTGAGCTTTTGAAGTCTTGTATCAATCGAGACTGGACAAAAATTTTGCTTGCAAAACTTTAACAATTAGTATCCTCAATTCCCAAACAATTAAAAATTGTAAATAAAAGGAAGGTTGATGTGACACAATGTTAAACATGCCTCTGTTCCAAATTTTTTGGAGTGTTGCAGCCATCAAAATCAAAATGTGTTCATATTTACAAAATACATTTACGTTGGTCAGTGAAAACGTTAGAAATCTTTTCTTTGTACTTTTGTCAATTAAATAAAAGTTAAATAAAATGAACAAATCACAGATTTGTGATTTTATTGCATTTTACAAAATGTCCCAATTTCTCTGGAATTGGGGTTGTATATATATAATAAGCTGCAAAATGCCAAAATTGCTCAACCAGACAAAGTAATCACTTACACCTGAAGTACCTCCCCTTAACACAAATGCTCCATCCTAGTTTCCAGTAATCTGGCAGCACACTTCGACTATGACACAATCCCTTCTGTAGCTGTCGGGCTCATGTCAGCCTTGCATTTAGTACACAATGGCACTTACTGTACCGCCACATGACTCATGAGACGGTTACAGTGAGCACAAAGCCCATACATAATCTCAGCACCCTGTCTCTCGCTTTCTAATCCTCTTTTACTGTCATTCCTCTTTTCTCACTCTCTTTCCTCCACCTCTCAGAAGACTGACCCACTGTGCAGTTAGTCGTGTAGACACAGAGCAGTTCCAGGGCTGCTGTCATGGTGAGATCGTCGAGCAGGAACCAGGGCCACAGAGCCATCAGCACCGCTGCCAGACGCAGCTCTGTAGCCACAGCCTGTTGAGACAAAGCTTGGCGGCATCAGTCAATACTGCATATTTAAGTGCATATTTTGAAAATCTCAAAATGAACTATATTTCTAAATTAATTCATACTACAATTTTTTTTTCCACATTATTATACTAACTCAATGATAATTTGTCAGGGACTGCAATCTGCCTGTGGCACATGTAAATAATATTATTTATATTAATATTAATAATATTATTTTTTAAAACTTTTTTCCCACATTATTACACTAGTTTGCTTTCACTTAAGACTACCATCAGGGACTGCAATCTGCCTGTATGGCTAAATCTGACACATTTACATGTACAGCTGATGTCAACAAACTTAATATAGACGAGGTATTTTTTTCTATTTATTTGCATGTCATATGATCAAAAAAAAAA